CTCTCTGCCATTTAGAAAAAGCAACAGAGAAAGACCTGTTCAGATGCAGAGGGAACACGCACAGTCCGTCCAGCTTCACGCCCAGAGAGTTAGAGCTCAGAGTGCCGCTCTTACATTTGGGTTCCGTGTGATTTTTCAAAAGGGCAGCAGCTGCTGCCACGTCCCAAGAACCTACTATGCGCTGGGCCGTCTGTCTGGTGCGGCCCAAGTTCTGTCTCGGCTGATCCCATATAGTGCCGCTGGAATGCACTTTACTTTTTAAAATCCCATTTTGCACAAAATCATGTGTTCTTCAAAATGTCAGTGGTGACATGCTGCGCTGGTTTACCGGAGAGAACCAGACCTCCCAGGTTTGGGGCCACCTACAGAGGATCGACGACCCGTCAGACAGAGGGTGGCAGGCCCCTGATGGGAGCGGCTGTCCCCAGGACCCCGCAGTGTGGTCAGGGACCCATTAGGAGTGAGGTCCTGGCCGGCCCCATGGCACCCTGACGGCTGCAGCCCAGAAAAGCACGGTCTCACCTGGCCCCCAGGCCCTGCCTGCGGCCGGTCTCTTCCCACCAGCCCCAGAGGCCCTCCTCACTCTTTGACTTGAGATGACAGACGCCCCCCCCGCCCCGCAGGCTGATACCCACTCAGCCCCCCGCCCGCTCCTGCGATCCAGGTCACATGGTCCCCAGGCTCTCTGACGGGCTGGCTCTCCACCGGCTGAGAAGCGAGGCCACTTGGAATCAGACGACACCCCAGCACCCAGTTGGAAGTCACGTGTTAGCCACCCAGCAGCAGACACGGACGCGAACCCAGCACGGCTTGGAGTCTGGATGTCCACTTGGGGCTCCTTCCTCCACATACGAGGTCTCCGAATCTCTTCCACCCAGATTCCCCAGTTATGCACGGCGACAGGTGCCTGCTCTGTTTAACATCCTGTGTGTCACAGACAGAAAGATCAAGTCTCCTGGCACCGGCATTCCTTGAATACCTTGGCTCTGTCCCATTTCCTCCGAATCCGGAGGGTGCTCCACCCTTGGACCCTCCTGCCCGCAGGTGCTAGGAGGAGGCGGGTCCCCACCATCAGCGCAGACCTAACTGTGGGACCACCCCACGCCCTCAAGTTGAGCAACGCCAACCAGAACAGGATTGGCCACACGGCAGATGACACGGGCCCGCACGGCCCCCCGTCATCCCTGCTATAGTCGAGAACGCCACCCTGGCACACACGTAAGACGAGCCAGATAGAAATATTCACACGACAGAGGAGAGAGGCTTCTTGGGAGCAGGAAACAACCAGAAACATCTTATTACAAGTAGGTGTGACTGGCGCAGTTGGAAGGAACTCCGGGTTGTTGCCAAACACCCAGGACGCAAAGATCGCCCAAGGGACGTTGTTCTGAAAGCTTGCTAGTGTCTATGATGAGATCCTCACATTAAAACAAACTTCTGAGGACATGCCCGGAAGAGTGACACCTTAATGAGCTGACAATCAGCCACAAACAGAGCCTCTCGGGGACAAGGCCCAGGAGCTCAGCCTCGGGTGGCCCAGAGACACAAGGGCACAGCGGCGTCACCATCTTGGTAACCAGAGTGGACCGCCAGGGAGGCCAGAATGTGATCTCCATGCTTGACTATAAAAGGCAGAGAAGCGAGGCCCCGGGGCACGTGACCCCCTTCTAAATAAAGATCCCCCACGCTGGGAGCAGCTGACCGGAGCAGGGGCCTGCAGGGGCAGGGAGACCGCGGCTCCTTCCGATGACACAGAGCCAGAGGCTGCCCCGGGGACCGTCCAGAGGGCCAAGGTCTACAGGAGCCTGCGCACAAAAGGAAACATCCCTCACGTGTAGCTTAAAAAAAATTTTTTTTTGAAGGAGGAGGAGGAGAAATGCGAGGAGGACACAAGGCACGTCCCGCGCGTGGGGTCTCAGGGCACAGACGACGTACCCCGTGATCTCGCCCCAACCAGCAGGTGGCTTACAAGCCAGTCACCTGCTTCACCTGGCGGCCGGGCGCACCAATCCCTGAGAAAATGAGGAAGTGGGAAAATGAGAAACTACTCTGCACACCCCAACACGGCCCCCGTTAGCCAAGAACAGGAGAATTCGGGGGGTGGGGCGGGGATGTATCAATAGAATTATGGTCTTTACCCCCCCAGACCTCACTTTAAGTCCCGCTCTCCTCGGTGAGACAGCAGTGAAACGCCGCCCACGTCAGCGACGGGAGCCGTGACTGCCTGCCTGCCCCCAGCCAGCTCCCACCTGCCCACCACGGCCGGGCTCATGGCTTCCGTGGCTGTCCTCCTCGCAGGCGATGCCGTGATGGGGGCTGCCCACAGGCTGTCTGATGGGTCACCGAGCACCCGGGGACTCAGGTGAGCAGTAAGACACTGAAGGGCCTGGGGGCGGAGGGCATCCGTGCAGGCATGAAGTGCCAGAAAGCGCCCAAGGCAAGTCAAGCAAACAGCAGGCACCATGTGGGCGAATTCTTCAGGAAGGGAACCGGGTCCTCCAACCAGATCCACCCGGTCCCTCCCTGGACGTGGCTGGCCTTCAGCAAATCACTGTTGCACAGAGCAGTGAGCAGTGCCACGGGCCAAGCCTCTACTCTTGAGATGATTTTTCCTACTTATCCAGCATCCTTAGCCTTGAATCCTTCCAACACGAGTGCAGGAGAGAGAGGAGCCGCCACCCGCAGCTGATGCTCCAGCTGAGAGCTGGGGACGGTAGAGACTGGGCTCCTGGGTAGCAATGACCGTGAACATCGCCCGGGACACACCCTATCTCCTCGCCCTGGAGCCTTTCGGCTCTCTCAGAACTGCTATTACACACTGTTCTCTGCTCCAGGAGCGGGGATGTGTCTTCCCGACAGTAAATCTTTCACAAAGCAGGTGCCGTGCTGTTACTCAGCGGGGCGAGAAGGGCCGCGGCCAGCTGCTCTGCAGCCTGCAACGTCCTAAAGGCTTCTGGGTGGGGAAGGCGAGGCCGGAGGTCACTCTGGTGGTCAAGAAGTCTGCCGTTGAGCGGTGGCCGGCTGGTTGCACGAAGCACCCTCAGGGACCCAGGACACCGCGGCAGGCAGAGACAGGGAGGCTGCATGGCCCACGGGAGCAGAAGACTGAGGGGCCTCTGGGCGTGTCGGGCGCTCACCCTACGGGATTCCGGATGGGGGAGCCTATCGGTCCCAGGGTGTGCCGGGCAGGTCCCTGGGCCAACGCAAAGAAGCAGGGAGGCCGAAGAAGGGCCAGGCCCAGGGACTGGCAGAGGGGAGAGCAGCGGAGGGTGCAGGGGAAACACAGGTCAGGCGGGAGGGGTGTGGCGTCCAGCCGGGGAGGACGCACCCTGGTGATGCCAGCACTTCCGACATGGGGCCGAGGGGAGAGCGGGAAAACGAGAGGCCGGCAGAGAGAGGATGGGGAGGCCCGTCGGACACCGAAACACCCTCCATCCTGCTGCGGGCGTCTTCAGCCGGCAGCAGGTCAGAAACAGCCACAAATCCACAGCCAGACCAAAGCGAACGCCACTGCACTTGCCCCGAGGGGCATTCCGAACAGGCCTGGGTGCCCAGGCCTCTTGCACTAAAGCCACCATCCAAAGTCTTCCCGCTGCGTGGGATGCCCCCCCCAGGTGCCGCCTTTTCCTTTCAAGACCACATTTTTAAATGTCCAGGCTACTCAGAAACATGCTGTGTTATTTCCTCAAACAAGCGCAGGACCTCACGGCCAGGGCCCGTTCTGACCAATCCCGAGTGCGGCTTGGGCAAGGCGCCTTCCTCCAACAGGAGCCAGCAGGGACCCATCCGGCTCCTCAAGGTCCCGACAGCAGCCAACGGGCCCCCACCCCCCGCACCTGACATTCACATGCACACGGATGGAGCCATACAGAGTTCCCACGTCAGGGCCGGCTCAGAGAAAGTGTCCTGTCCCCGCTTCGGCCCTGGCCTGAGGGGGAATCAGAAAAACCGCTACCTGTGGGTCTGGCCTTTGATTTGTGGGCCATGCGAGGCAAGCCTGCCCACGTGGGATTTCTTGGCTATTTGTGAGTGGATGCTTCTTGGGCCTTTCGCTGGCCACCCATGAATAATAGCTATTTATAGCTGCCACACTGTCTTCCCACCAGTGAGCAGAGCCTTCTTGGCCAGCAGAGCTAAACTCTGCTGTAGGGCAAGGAACCAGAGTCTCGCTTTAATACCGAGCAACCTGGCTCGCCAGGTGTCGGTCACACGCAGGCAAGCTCCACTGTGGCAAAGAAAAAACAAGTTGAGGGCAGAAAAATACACAAGCAGGCCCCAAATCCCCCGTAATCACACTGCAAAGCTTTTTCACTGGAGTGCTTTCGGGAAAGTTGCACAACGGTTTGCCTGGGGGTTACAAGGGTCCTGAAAGGACCGCCTCAACCCGGGAGTCCTGGAAGCTGGTCCAGGGCTCGCCCAGCCTCGGCTGGGTGCCCCTCACAAACCAGGACACCTCAGCCTCAGCATCGTGTCGGCTAAAGCTTTCGGGACCACGGACAGCGTGGAGGTCACACTTGCACTGAAGGTGAAATAGGTCTTTACTTTCTCCTTTCATTCAACTCTCTCCCAACTATACTCACGCTAAGGAAGGCCTGCCGTACCAGGCAAAGGATGGGAGGATTGGTATGTGAGGGCTTAGGAACTTCCAGGCACACCACGCCACCTTTCCCATCGGGGACGCAAAGCAGGTCAGCAGGCTTCTGGCCAGAGGGTGAGGAGTTACTTCTAGTTATGGTTGGAACGGCCTGGTTGGCAACCGCGGTGGCCTCCAGCCATTGCACTGTGCTTCACCCCTTGGGGTCCCAGAAGCTACCCCAAGCCAACTACCCTAAGACCCGCCCCCATCCCCGCTTCCAAGGCAAGCAGGCCACGTCCTAAATGCAGGCACACCCACCCGCCCAGGGGAGCCATGCATTCAGAGGAGGGGGCGGGAGGGGGGCGGGCGAGCAGGAGGGGAGGGGGGAGAGCAGCAGGCATGCCGCGGTGGGCGTCACCCTTACTTTTCTGGCAGTGGTTGGTGGTCCAGCACCGGTAGTTGTACTCGTTGTTGATGGTGGTCTTCTCGCACAGGGGCTTCCCCTCGACCGTCCCCGGACACAGGTCCCCGCACTCCTTCAGGGGCTTGTTGCCCACGATGTAGTTGTTGGAGGCTGCGTCCAGGATCAGGGACCAGTCCACCGTGGACAGGTAGCAGAGGTCGGCGTTCTTCTCGATCCTGATGGCCCCCCGGGTGATGTTCCTCAGGTTATAGAGCCCGATGTCTTTGAGGTTGGTCATCTCGAAGATGACCAGGGCATAGTTGTAGAAGAGCTTCCAGCCGCGGATGACCGTGAGGTTGGGGAACAGGTCGCCCAGGCTCTCGAGGCCGGCCACGCGGAACAGCAGCAGGTACTCGGTGATGACCGTGAGCTTGGGGAAGCGGTAGCTGCGGTAGTCTTCCGCCTTGGAGATGAGCAGGATGTGCAGGTAGCCCTCGATGACCGTGCAGTTCTCCAGGCGCCTCAGCTGCTGGTAGTCATTGCGGATGTCGATGCCCGGCCCGCAGACTGAGGGGACACAAGAGAGGGCGGGACATGTGTCAGTGAACAGGGAGGCACTGGGAATCGACTTTCCAACCCACAGGGCAGTCCCTTTTCGGTCACCTATATGACCGCTACGAAACGAGACCGGTTTCGTGCTGCGCATGACCGTGAGGTGTGGCGGCAGGTTGCCGGTCCAGGTCGCTTCCCAGGCCATTGGCCTTTGGGAAGCGCCTGCTCGGGGCCGGACACTGGGCAGCACTCTCACCACCCCTGGGAGACGCCGTCCCCATCCTGCTACCACGCACACCATGGCTCGGAGTTCATGGCCACACAAGAGCACACGTAAGAGTCAAGGGTGCGATCCACGCCAGCCTGAGGCCATAGACCACTCCCCTTCTGCCCACCTCTGGCTCCCAGTCAATGAACACAACTTCCTACTACTTCCAGCCTCAAAGGCACCCAGCAGGAGAGCCAACCCTTCCCGTGACTTGGGAGGCAGGAACCCAAAGAAGCAAGCCCCCAGGTCTCCTGCTACCAGCTCACACAGGCCAGCTGGCCTGCTGGCCTCCCCAGCGCCACACAAATGCAGCCGCAAAGGCTAACGTAACAGAAAGATCAAGAGCACGCCGTCCGTGTGCCCAAAGGAAGTATACGATCCCCACTTTAATCCACGGGGCTCCCCGTTAAAAGGTTAAGTCACAGAGAGCAAAAAGATACTAAAACTCTCAACAACCACAGAGGATCCCTGTGTCTGCCACCTGTACCCTTATCCTTTCTCTGTAAGTAATTTAAGGTAAAGGAAGTCACATAATGATACGCCATTTTCAAACATACTTCCTCTACTAACATTTTACCAAGTCAACAAACGTCCTCCAAAATCATCGTTTTAAAGGAGAAATAGTAAGCCGGTTCCAGGGTGTGACCACGCACCACGAGGTTTTCCTACTTCCCTTTTTAACCAATCCCCTTCTGTTGGACATTTAGGTTACCTCCGTTGTCTACATCACAGACAACATCCTGGGAACACCCAAGACCATTTTCTCAAGAGAAATCCAGGCACAGGCTTCAGGTAAAATAGAAGGCTTCGTTTTATTTTTTAAATCCTATGCACGCACAGACACACCAACCCTTGGTTACGCTCCTTTCTTAGGATTTAGTGATCTCCACACCTGCCATTAGGGCTTCTCAGACAGAATCAGGTAGTTCACGGACGTGTGAAAGGCCCGACCTATACGCTGCCATGGGAGATGCGCAGCCCCTGAGGAGGTTCATGGTGAAGGCCAGGAACTCAGGCCTGTGACAAACAGCTGTGACCCCATGCAGGAGGCAGACAGGGCTGCACACGCTGTCCGTGCGCTCCAGGTGCGAACGGAACTGGGCGGGACAGACCCGGGGCGGCCGGGGAGCATCCTGCAGAGAGCGAGTCCAAGTGCCCGGGAAGCTCCGTGTGAGAAGGGAGGGTAGGACTTAAAACTGGGCACGGGGGCCAGAGAAGAGGCAGAAGGAGACGCGTTCAGGGGACGGCAGATCTCACGCCCGGGACGCAGAGACGAGTGGAACAGAGGAGCTTGCTGGACTGTGAGGGATCGAGATCACAGGTGGGGACGAGGACTCTCAGGAAGGAGGCCCCTCTCAAGGCTCACGTCCTGCTGGAGGGTTAACCTGGTGGCCAAGGGCAAGGCAGGGTCAAAGTGGAGTGGCCAAGGGAGAAGAGATGAGAAGGCCCTGTTGGGTTGCAGCCATGGATGGGACCCGGACAGAGTGTGGGGATGGGGGACACAGGGGCTGCAAGGTGAGCAGAGCTGGAGAACCTAGAACTTGACACTGCATTCAGTCCGACTGCCTCTTCTTAATGACAAGAAATCGGAGCCTCTAGAACAGGGAAGAGAACGGGAGAGCCCGGCCCTCGGCGAACACGCGCCTGCCTGCCCGACAGAGGCTGCTGCACTAGCTCTGGCTGCGGCCCTGTCCCGTCTCACGAAACGCTCTCGACCACATCTCACGCCTCGTACATAACACACGCACTGCTGGGAAGGTGAGGAAAGAGACTTGGAGAGGCCGCGTCACTCATAGAAGGTCGCATCCTTGACCCAAGGCTTGGGGACGGTTCTCAGCGTGGTTACCCCCGACCCCCTGCCTGCCACGGGGCTTCTGTCCCAGTCACTGCACAAAGTAGCTCTTCGCAAAGCGCCCAGGGACGTCACCACGGCCAACGACAGTCCCCATCCTGGCGCCGCTTGTCCCTTTCGGAGACATCTGAGGCTTCCTCCCTCTCTAGGCCTCTCCGATCCCACACGCCCACCGACCTCTCCTCCACTTCAACCGGACCTCAAAACGGCGCCCTCCGTCACCCCACCCGGGCAACCGGCTTCCTGTGCCACCCACACACCGCAGGGCCCAAAGTCCCCTGCGCCCCGAGGCTGTGTACCTATCTGCCTCCTCCACGGCTCCCTTTGAAGTCTACTAACTCACCCCCACCCGCCCCTACATCACCTCCCAAGCGTCTGGATCCCGGTCAATGATGCCCCCGTTCTCCAAACAGCTCCTGTCAAAAATCAAAGGGTCATTCCCGGTTCTGCTCTCCCCTCGCACCACGTAAACCCTGACCTTGGGCATCACGCTCGCTAAAATGTCGGACAGAGAAAGGCAAAGTCTGTCCGTTCTCACTGACACGGGACACTCGAAACAGCGGAATTCGCGGACACAGGGGGCAGAACGGTGGTGGCTGCCAGGGGCTCGGGGACCAGGCCACTGAGCCCTGGGGACCTGCTGCTGCAGCCGGTGACTGTGCTTCATTAACAACACGCTATACGTATAAGAGAGCAGGTCTTCAGTGTTATCTATCTCCGCACTCACAAGGCAATTGGAACTACGTGAGCGGATGGGGGTGTTAACGAAGGTTCCTGTGACCACTTTGGAATGCCCACAGGTGTCTCAGCATCACACCCCACCCCAAACTCGCACATGTTAATGTTAATGACACCCCAGGAAGTCCTCTTGGCTACTGCTCCCAAGTCTGGGCGTCTCGGGTGCTCTTCCCTCAAGCGCACCCCACCCCCTTGGCTCCCCCACCTCCACCGCCCACGTCTCTCCCTCCCGGTGCGCGTCCACCCCCTTCGGGGCCTGGCTCGGGCCCTCTCCCTCCCCACTCGCACCACGACACCCCCCGCAGGAGGACAGAAAATGACCTTCTGCGCGGCCCACGCTGGCGTCCCCAGAGCCTCAAACAGCACTTGGCGTGCCCATCAACACGCGTGGTCAACACGTGTGCAGAAGGGACAGCTTTCCCCAATCTGTCGCCACTGCTGTGCCTCAGATCTGAGCCACCGTCCCCTCCAGCCCGGACGACGCCGACGCCCTCCCTGGGGTGCAGCCTCCACGTCCCAGTCCGCTGCTGAGCCGGCAGCACCAGGCCGGGAGCCCCGACAGGGTCTCGTCCTGGCCACCGGGCTCCTCCCTCCTCGTCCCCTGCTGCCCGGTTCTCATCAGGAGTCTCTCCAGCCATTCAAATGCCACCTCTTCAGAGCTGTGCCCGAACACCCTGGAGTCAACAGCCCCCGCAACTAACTTCCTCTCTCCCCCCTCATCTGTCTCTGTCATCGTTTTCCTAGTGCCCCCCATGTCTGAAGTGCCAGTACCTGAAGGGTACCCGTGAGCTGAGTGATCGCCGGGCATTAACTCCACTTACTGATGCACTCATTGGTTGATTTTTGCATGTGCCCTGACCGGGGATCAAACCCACAACCTTGGTGTATTGGGATGACGCTCTAACCAACTGCGCTACCTGGCCAGGGCTCCTGGTTTCTAGTCTTGAGTTAAGTCAGCCTGAGGTGGAATGAAAAGAACAAGGTCTCTATCTGGTATTTGCACCAAGAGTGCTCTCAAAATAAATTTAAAACAAAACACCTAGCTTCCTTCGGGTCAATGACTCATTGTGAAAGTTTCATTGTTTTGTTTTTTTTTAATTATTATTGTTTCCTCTGCCCAGCCTAGGTAAGAACTCATATTCTTTCCACCCCGTTATAAATGAAGGATGTCAGTTTGCTCTCAGATAATAAACAGAAGTTTCTATAGGAGAGTACTTAGCTCAATTGATTATTGCATTCAATGTGTTTGATCAGATTACAAAGGGCCAGGTATTGACAGGTTTGCGATCACTCCCAACAGACCAAGTTAGACAGCATGAAGACTCGTAACGGAAGTTTGCTGGACTTTCATGTCGCAATCAAAACAGGCAGCGGGGAAGCCCGACTTCCCTGGGCCCACACCACGGCCAGCGCGGACCGCTCAGCTAACAGGAGCCAAGGTCCCCACACTGGACACGCCTTCCCCATTTACAGAAGAGGGTCGTGGGGGGCAGGGGGAGGAGGAAGAAAGGACCCACTTCTTCCTGAAGAGAGGACACGGGAGCCCCAGCCACAGAGTGCAAAACAGGACCGGCCACCAGCTGTGTCGCATTTCGGGGGTGACAGCGTTGGCCTCCGGGGTGTTTTGTGATGGCCACAGACACGGGAAAACCTGGCTGGCCCCTGAGCGGCGGCTCCATGTTCAGAAGGCACATGCCACACGCAGAAAGAGAACGTCACGCACATCCCACGGGCCGTGACACGATGCAAGGACCAAGGGAAGAGGCTCGCCGCGGCTCCCGGGGAAGTCGCCACAGGTCCTTTGAAAGCTCGGAGAACTCTGGGCGAGGTGGCCGGGAAGCTCACGGAAATGAAGGTGGGAGCCAACCAGCAGGTAGGGTGCGGCCCGGACAGCAGGCCCAAAGCCAGTGAACAGGGCGGCAGAACCGGAACAGCCGGAGGACCGCCTCTGCTGGGGACAGGGAACGGCGGGGGGAGGCGGTGGTGGCCGCCGCCTGAGCCGGGCCACCACAGAGGGGGCCCGGCAGGTGGGTGAGGGCTGGGGTAGGGGTGGGTGGTAGAATTTTCATCCCCAAAGATACCATGAATGGTTAAATGAAGTCAAATACTCCATTTGTCATGGAGACAAATACTGCTCCCCAAATTCCCTAGGTGTTT